TAAGGCAGAATTGCTATGCACCATTATCCCTCTCCTAGAGCATTTTCTATGTCTGAAATTCCCTTTTTATCTCTCCTGTGTACATGCTGAAAATTTGCCACATCTTTTATCACCATTCTGCAGTGGCCCTACATACATTATTTGGGAGTGATGATGTTTGTGGCTTATAATTCAGAACTACCTACTTATGGTGTGAATGTTTTTTGAAGGTTTAAAGCCTTTGGTAGTTACAGTCCTGCTCCAGGCTTTGCACAAAATGTGAATGATTTTCATATTATTATTTTTATATGATTTCATAAAAAACTGGACTTCATTTTTCTGGATAATATGGATTTCCTGAATTAATATCTCTCCTGACCCCACAACATGCAGCATGTTCTTAGCTCCAGAACTACACAAGGTTTATTACTTCATTTTTTCTGTAATTTATCATGACCAGAAGTTGAGTGCAGTGCTCCAAAATAAGGGGTAGTGAGGTCAGCAAGCGCAAGTACACCAGCACTTGACAAATAGGCAGGGAAAGGAAATGGGTTGGTTGGGAAGACTAGATTGAGTTCTGGAAAAGGTGAGGACCTTTTCACAAACTGCAGTCCCTCAGCTGCCATGTTTGACACTTGGACAGAGGCATACTATGTGGGAAAGAGGAGAAGCAACTCAGAAACATTAATTACTGTCCTTTGTGCATGATGGTGACAGCCAGTAGAGGCAATAGAAACAAATGCTAGTCACCTAAATCTCATCATATACTAAAAGTTAATGCAAATGCAAATCATATTACCGTTTTCCTCCAGTGTGCTGCTGGGAGCACTGGTCTTGTCAGAAGTGGATGCTTAGCTGACAAGGGGCTCAGGGGTCCATGGATCTGAGCTGGGGTCTGTGGATTCCTCTCTGGTGTCCTGGATCATGAGTAGTTCCTTGCAGATACCTGGGTACCTCCACTTGCATGGATTTCTATGTCCCACTGTCCTCGGAGCATCCATTCCAATCCCAGCATCCTCACAAAGTATGGTTTGATGATGGTGCCCCATGCCAGCCTCCTATTTAACTCCTTGTGGTACAGACATGTGGCTCACCTAGCACCCAAGGTACAGTTTCTGTTCCTTGTCCACTTGTAGGTTCACTTCCAGTCCTGTCCTTAACATAACATTGCATGGTGTCACAATGGTCACTGTGAGGTCACTTCCTTAGTGATGGCATTGTACACTTCCTGTTAGCAGTGGTTGTGAATGAACAATTACTATTCTTTAACATTTCCTCACATTGCAAAAAGATGCCAGAACTTGGCACAGGTCCAGCAGCAGGTACAGTAAACCAACATATCCATAGGTTTTGATCCTTGGAGTGCCCAGGCACGAAGAGGACATGCACCAGAGTTTAAACAGGGAGGTGGCCACAGAGAAGTAGGAACCACACAGTTAAATAGTGCAGCCATGTTGAGAAAGGGCACAAAATAGCATTGGAGGGCAACTGGCAGACCACAGAACTGTACCAAGGCAGAGGCATGTTCATGAACATGGGGCTAAGGTTGCTTGCCACAAGACAAATATACCCCAAGAGGTAGCCAAAGTAAAAAATTCTGATTACACTGAATTTACATTAGTACAAAGAGTTGCATCATGTGGACAATGCAACTCTTTTTTATAGCAGGCCACCAGGGTTTATTCCAGGATAACTCATTTGTGTAGACAATAGGTTTTAAATTTTGCAAAACTACATGATTTCATAGAACAACTAAAAGGGACACACAGAATCATTAAGTTTTTGGAAAAATGTCTAAAAGGGGCCATTTGTAGTCTTTTAATGTCAAAGTCTTTGAATGTAGTTTATTCAAAACTTTCAGGCCATGCTCCACTTGTCAATAAGACCAAACCCTAAAAATCTCAATTACTTTTTTCCTTTTTAATTTGGCATTATAATTTTCAGGCAGCACAAGTCATTTAGGCAACTTAAACGTGAAGTTCAGAGAGTCCTAAGGGAATTACACAACACATTAATGCAGTGGCCTCTTTTTGAAATGCAATGATAACAAATGCAAAATATACATTATATTATAGGCAGATCCAGGATTTTTATAAAAGTGAGTGGCAAGTTGGGTGTTGTGGTGTGGCTGCACTCTCTGCTCCCAGACTCCCTGTTTCCTGCTGGGGCAGGCAGACCATGCCACAGAAGAGCAGTCAGGCACTATTTTTAAGTCCCCACTATTTAAAAAAACCCACACCCTTGGCACCCCCTCCCTTCCTCTCCAAGCTCAGTGGCTCTTCCCTCACCCTCCTATTCCCCCCTGCATCCTCTCTCCTTATGCCTATGGGCACAGGAAGAAGAAACTCATGTGCTGCCACCACTGTCTGGAAGCTCCTGCCCTGCTCCAGCCAGGTGAATGGGGAGCAGTTGTGTGGGGAATCAGGTAAAGATAGCAGTGATGGGGTGGTAGCAGACTGGCTCTTTCTCCCTGTGCCTGTTCTCATGCTGGTTGGGTACACCTGGGGGAACAGGACTGAAATAATTTCCTTGCACAGCTACTTCTCACAGCCCTGGATGGAGTGAAGCATGAGTGGCTCTGGAGCTCCCCAAGCTCCACTGGGGTCAGATGGTGACAATGGCAGGCTTGGGAAGTGGAGGGAAATGGGAAGGGAGGGGATGTACCACTGAATACAGAGGGGAAGGAGAAGGTGCCAAGGCAGGCCAAGCAGTCTTAACTGCTTCAGGAACTTAAAAGAAGTCCCTGGATCCTTCTCCTGCACCAAAGCCTGAAAAGGGGGCATGACTGTACCCCTCTGGATCCACCTTGGCATTACATGGAATTTGAATTATTATACAAAGTTATAAAAGTTATAAAACAAGGTTTTCATATCCTTTATTGAGATTATCTACAGCAGGGGTGGCCAACCTGCAGCTCCGGAGCCACATGCGGCTCTTCAGAAGTGAATATGCGTCTCTTTGAATCTTTGCACAAGCACACGGTGACCAGCCTCCATTCCATTAACTTCTGAAGAGCCGCATGTGGCTCTGGAGCCACAGGTTGGCCACGCCTAGTCTACAGGGACTGAACCTCAGAATGTCTTGATCTAAAAATACACGTTACTGCTGCTTAACTTAAGGAAGAAAAGATCATAAAACTCCCATACTCCACAGGCCAGTGGTCCTCAACATTTTACACTCAGAGGTCCCATCAGAAAATGCTAGCTTTTAACTTCCTTTCATTTTTTGCTACAGAAATCAGTAGAGCAATTTTTCTGTTGCAAAGAACTTAGAAAACCAACAACAGGTCAGAATATTTTTGATACTGTGGATGCCTATTTGGAATCTCTAGGTTTGTCTTGTGAATCATGCAAGTGTTTCCACACCTAACAGTGCTGATATTGCATGCAGTTCTTAAAAGGCTCTTGCTACACGCCAGCTGAGAATCACTGCCATAGACCAGTAGCACTTGACTGCCGGCCCCATGGGCCAAATCAATGGTGTGGGGCCAATCAGCAGGCCAGATCAGACTCCTGCATGTTAGTAATAGGCCCTTCACTGTCTTGGTGTGCCAGAGTCAGGCCCCAGGGCCCTGTGCCACCCAGACCCAGTCCCACGGGCTCTCCAGGGCCCTGTGCCATCCCTGTGTACCAGGATCAGGCCCTGGGGCCCCACAGTCCTGTGCTGCCCCTGTGTGCTGGGATCAGGCCACACATGCCATGATTAGATCCCAGGTCTGTCCTGCCCTCACATGCCAGGATCAGGTTCTCAGCCCTGAAGTTTCTCCTGCCTGGTCCCATGTACTGGGATCACTCCCCAGGGCCCCACAACGCTCTGCACACCTGATCTAGTGTGTGGGGAGCCCCAAGAGTCAGATGACACAGTGCCAAGAGCCAGATCTGGTCTACTGCGCATGAATTGCCTCAGCACATCCAGCATTGCTGATCCCACCCGCTGCTGTCCCCAGGCAAGAATCATATCCTGTGGGAGGGGGCAACATTGACCTAAAGCAAGTGCACATCCAAGATACAAGCAAAGCAAATGCCTGCAGGTGGCACAACACTGAAAAATCCACAGGGTGGACAGAACTCCAGCCTCACTGGGGATCACAGGACCATAGGAAAGTAGGGCTGGGAGGGACCTCACAAGGTCATCTAGTCCAGCCCCCAGCTCAAGGCAGGATTATCCTTAATTAAGTCATCCCAGCCAAGTGCCTGTCTAAAGAAAAGCAAGGTCATGCTAAGGGCTTAAAGAGTGAGAACTGGGTGCAAGGAGATGAGACGAAGAAACCATGGCCTGAAGAGAGGAAAGGATCTATTTCAATTTAATCAGAGGAAGATGGAGGAGATGCAAATGGAAAGATGGAAACTTTGGATCCAAAAATCACAGGAACCAAGTACTATAGCCCAAAAACTTGAGCAGATGCGTAAACCTCTTTGTCTGTGATCTACTCAGTAGTGGGAGACAGAGGCCAACCTGTCCTAGCACCATTTACCAGGTAAGAAAGTAGGAAGGAACACACTAGCTGAAAAGGTTTGCATTGCAAAGGAACAGCTGACATTTGGAGACTTCTTGGACCCTCAGCTCTTGTACTTTGACCCTTAAACAATATACTTATCTTTTAAATTGGCTTCTGCATTTTGCATCCATAATGAACAGTGAGGAATCAATCATTGGGGCAGGGAGGCCAGGAAGGGCCACATTCATTTCTCAGTATTGTTGTATATATGTAACCCACGCTTGAATAGCATGGCTTGCTTTTTCCCTCTAGTGGTAAAAGCAGAGGCAAAGCCAAAAAGAGTTTCTGAGCTGAAGGCCTCAAGTAAACGCTTGTGTCTCTTAGCTCCAGAAGTCCCAGGTCCAATTTCCATGGCTGACAACTTATCCCAGAGCATGATGTACTCAGAGATGTATACCACAGTGTACTCGGATATGTCAGCCTGCAGCATTTCCACCAATCCTCCCTTTTCACTGATAAATGAATACTGTGAGAAAGGCAGGCTTTTTTTCTTTTAAACATGTTTATTTAAAGGTAAATACAGCTAATACTGTCAGCTACGAGCTGTCATCTGCCTCAGTACAGAATTATATCCTGGGCAAAAGCAAAAGAACACAGAATAGTACTTCTTAAATATACATAGGCATTTCATGTAGCATTACAGAATTTTGTTCAGTTCCATATGGGTTCCTGTACTGCACCGATCTCCAGAGTATCTGTAAAAGAAATGTCTAGAGTCCCTTTCAAGCATTCTCATAAGATTCCCCTTTGCATTAGAACATAAATAATGCAATTTTCAATATACCTTCCAGTATACATAAACTTGCAATGTGAGCTTGAAATCAACTTAAAATGGCTGATACAGCTTAGATGATAATGAAACTGCTTTCATACCACAAATATTTTCGATGTCTTCAGGAAGTGTTGAGAAGGCACACTTGGACATACCTCCATATACACAGCATGTACTGCCAGTAAAATTCTCATAAGGCAACAAAATTAAGAAAAAGAAAAATATAAAATGCATTTATTTTAATTGCTGTAACTACTCAAAATGTCCCTGGATGCATTAACCACTTCCTTGGTATCACAATCATATCATAAGCTGAATTTGTATTGAGAATACACAACATGCACTATATATAATATGCATTCTTCTATATATTCAATGTACACTGCAGAACCACCCAAAAAGATTTCTGAATCTGCCAGTAAATCCCTGATCACGGTGTTTAGTAGTTATTTATGCTATTTGTCCATATGTGTCGGACACCGTGGAAAAAAGGAAACACTGGAAAAAAATACCTTTGCAGAAGAGAGTTATGTTTACATGAAGGAGACAATGGGGGGGGGTGAATTAAGGCAAAAATGAATGCTATATGGATGGTAACACTACATATAATATATAACTGATATTCAAATTACTCAAATAATGGAAGGGTTTTGTTCTTTAGTTCGAAGAAGTAGTGAGCAGAACAATGACATGCATGGAACCAGAGGGATGTCAATGACTACTGGATGTCACATTTTCTATTTGAGACTCCATTGTTTCTCTGCAAGTTAAAAATTGCAGGCTTAGCCACACACTCCAATACATCCATTAAAACAGGTTTTAAAAATAAATACTAGAGCAGGGTTTGTGCACTCATAGCAGCAAACATCCAGGAGGAATCAGTTTGGCACCCATCCTGCAAATGCTTATGTTTGTGCTTAGCATTACAAACCCCAGCCCTCCCAATGACTCCTAATGGTTTGGAAGCTCACACAGTCTTAAAGGATAGGATTGATAAGGGAGCCACTGACTTGCAATAGGAGCTGGCCTCCTTTGGATATCTAAGTCAAAATGCTTCCTGCCTGTTAAAGTGGTGATCCTGTAAGCACCTAAGCACCTCTTTTCTTTTATGCATGCCCAACTCTAATGCAACTTCACATGTGCACAAAGGTAACATGTGTGCCTATGTGTTTGCAGTATCAGAACCCATGTGAACTATCTGTCTTACTGAAGAGGAAACTGGTAAGATTTGCTCACATCTTTGCCCAACACACTGATTTTCCTTTTTAGCTGTCAGAACAGGCAAGTGAGGCTTTTTGGGGTGGAATTAGCTTAAAAAATGGATATACATATTTTTTTTAACAACTTGTGGTCAGAGCCCCTTTATCAAAAAAGATCTTGGACAGTTTGACCATATTGTTGATGCTTGTGCTTGCAAAAAACAATATACATAATACATGCATTTTTTAAAGTAAAAAGGATATCACTTGATGCTTTTATGACATATGGAACATAGTTTCTCAGAAGGACTGCATTTGTATACATATATGTGAGGTCTGGATAAAAAGGTGTAAGTGAGCAGATTACTCACAAGTCTGTTGTGAGACTGTCAAAGTCAAGTACACACAGGTCTGATGTTCAAGCGTTGACCTGTTAAGACAGCAATAAGGAAACAAGGATCTGGACATACAAACAACTTATTGTGGAGCTAAAGGGATAGGGCTTTACCATGTGTCACCTACTGTGGGTGACTGTCCACATGTATGTTTTTAATCCATGATATGTGGAAGCTGAGCCACGGGATACTATCCTTCTTTTATTGAGTACTAAGCTGATACAGTTTAGCTTTTGCTTACCACACGCTAAGACCTATACACAGGCAGTTTCTGTGGAGCAGCTCATGCATGGGAAAGTCCTGCCCTGGTAAGTAGGCCACTGTGAATGTGGCTGTGGCTGCCTACCCCAGGACACTAAATTATGCTGTCAAGGCACATTGGGCACAGAATTAATTGCACTGATTAAAATGAAAATTCAACTACTGTATGTGACCGTACTACTATCACTATTAGTATTAACTACCCTATCTTTGAAGTCACGAGTCAAATTCACCCTGGTTCAGACTACTAATTTTGCTCTACTTTACAGTTGAATCTTTGTTCTCTCTGGGCACATCTACATGTGCTATTACTGTGCATGAATAAACTGCAGAGCTTATTGCTCCACAATTTATTGCTCTCAGGCACACTGTTTGAACGTGCACCTGGGAGCAATTAACTCCAGAGCAATAAGCTCCAGGGATCAGCCTGCTAGCCTGGGGCTTCTCCCCCTATCTCAGTGTGCTATGAATGGGGCTGGCTGGAGCACAAGGGAGCTTCAGTGTGGGGCTAACCAGCAGGTAGTCCCTACATTGAAGCACCCTTGTGCCCCAGCCAGCCCCTCCAGTGTCTACATGTGTGCTGTTTCACAGTTTTTTACTCCACAGCAGGATAGTACTCATCTTTACTATTCTGTTGTGGAGTAAATTAATTTATTCTGGAGTAACAGGGGTACACATGTAGATGTCAAGACATTTACTGTGCAGCTAAATAGTCAACTGCATGGTAAGCATCTTGTGTAGACATACCCTCCATATCTCATTGAGGACACCTGCTCACTTGCAAAAGGCACTAATTCATGATTCGGTGAAGACTCAAACCTCTCCGAACAAATTATAAAAGGGAACATCAAGCAAAAGTTCTGTTGTTATCCTTTTTCAGAACTCCAGTCTCATAAGCTTCCCATATCATTTGTTCTTTCAACTGTACCTGAGTTAGAGATTCTGGCTATTATACCCACTCTGTCTGTGGAGTGTTCATATGAAAGGAATATCTTCCTGCAGAGTAATACAGTATTAATACTAGCTGCCAATCTGAGAAGCAGCAGATTTGCATTGTAAATCACCACTGATTCCAATGGTCTTTCAACAATTCCTTTTCCTTCCAAGAATCGCTAATATTCATGCTAGAAAGTAAGCCCTGAGTCATCTCTCCTGTCCCCCTGTATCATGGGAGTCTCAGTGGATGCATCTACATTTGAGCATGTACTGTGCATTACCCAAAATGACTGTGCAGTACAGGCATGTGTCTACACATGCAAACTCATACTGCGCATTAAATATGGTGACTTATGCTGACTTGAGTGTATATTTGATACCTGCATCATGCAGATATCAAATTTACGCTTGATTAGTTACTGCACAGTAATGCATGTGTAGACACCTTACTGTGAAGTAACAGTATTAATGCACTTTAATGCCTGCACGTGTAGACGCTGGCCTATTCCTACTTACTGCATAGTAAATTTAAGCCAGAGTAAATGAATGCTACAATCTAGGCAGGCCGCCTCCTTAGGAACTTTTCACACCCTGGTGGCAGGGGCACTGCAGAGTTGGGGGGGAACTTGAACTTGGGATTTATATATTGGGGTTGCATGATGTGGAGCTTAAGCTTGGGCCCATGGGACAACCCTGGAAGGCAGGTGCAATTCAGAATTATGTCTACATGGTCACAACACAACTGGGAGCCTCTCCAGCTGCTGGGACCACCCAGGATTGGAAAGGTATAAGGTGGTTCAAAACCACCACCTCCTTGGGCAGTGCAAACTTAATGCTGTGCTTTTTTGCACAGAATCTCACTCAACCAAAAGGCAACAAGGACTACAGACTAGCTGTCTTGATTGCAAATTCTTGAAGCTCTGCTGCCATGAGATCTCACACCAAAAGTGGGCAGACACTGCAGGACTTGCCAAGGTCTACACAGCCACCTTTTAGTATATTTTCACTTGTAACTTGAGAGCAGAGCAAGGTGAGTGAAGGGAACCTTTGGGGCAGAAACTGTTCTGCTGTGTTTGTATTGCCCCTGGCTCAACAGGTCCTTGTTTGGGGTTGGGTTTCACAGGCACTATGTCAATCAAATACATACATAGATATATGCAATAGAAAGCAAAGGAGCCCTGGAAGAGGTTCCATGGTTCTTACTGGATCCAAAGTTGCTTCCATTGCCACCAGGCCATGCCTGGAACCAGCCCTGAGAAGCAAATCCAACCCACTCTCTCCTACTCAGTACATACCACAAAGCAAAAATGAGGCATCCGTGAGTGTGTGCTACTGTCCCCTCAGACTTTCTGTCTTGCACATGTTTAGGGCTATTCTAAGCCAGCTCCACTGTCATATTTCTGGGCTTTGTACACAGTGCAGAAGCAGGGACGACATAATAGTTAATGGCTTGATATGAAGGCAGGGTAGGCATGGTCATTGTTACTGTGTAATAAAAATGAAAAACAGCTTAGTCACTCCAAGAAACAGTCCCATTTTATGCCATTCCGCCCCACTCAGTAGCACTAGCCAAAGCAAGATACCTACCAAAAAGTCCATCACCTAATTTGCATCTTGTATAGCTATATAACACCCAATATGTGAGGTACAGGGAAGTGGCTATTTTGATACACATAGTAGTGGAACTAAAGGGGGCAACTAGGGCTGCATCCCTAAGTGCTGCCTTTGTGGGAGAGCACCAAAACAGCTGCACCCACAGAAGTAGCTGAGAAGGGCACCATAGCAGCTGATGCTACCCAAAACATCATGTGGCTGCCCCAGGCCCAGAGCTACCCAGCTATGCCTGTGCACCTGTACCATGCTTTGCAAGTTGCTCCTAGCTGCCCCTCAATGCCTTCCTTTTGGGATACCATTAATATGTTATGGTGAATAGCATCTTTCTAAGCAAGATAGGCAGGAACAGAATTTGAGTTTTTCATAATCAGGTTAATCCCCAATAAATTTACAAGCAGTGAGTTACCTACCAGTAGCGTAGTCATTCCACTTGCAAATTTTACAACTGTTTCTCACAAATCCAACATGTCCATGCATCCTTCAAGAGTGAAACCAGGTCAACAGTGAATAGGGATATGAGGCAGGACATGCCATGGGAACCTTTAAAATCCACCATGGACTTCAGAGTTGTTAATGTTTCATTAGAAGGAAGTTTAGTATTGAAGTCCATTGCCTGAGCACATCCTTCAAACTACAACCCAAGGATAACCACATTGCCAGTGCCTGTGCCATCTTGTGATTAGCTTTCTCAGTTCCATGTAGAAACTGTATTTCAATTCCTCCTGTGTGATTTCTCTTTCATGCCATGGCAATGGTGGCTATAAGTTGGTCCAGTCCCAGAGTCATGTAACTGAAGAACTGTTTTCTGCAACTACCCCCCTAACCCATATGTTTGTAGGCAGGAGGAGGTTCAGATGGCGTCTGCAGTTACTTAAGCCAGGCCTTCATGTTGTTGGGGTTTTTTTTTTTTTTTTTTTTTTTTTTT